TGTCGAGTACGTGGCACAGAACCTGTAGCACAGCGGGCACGCAGCAAATGTCACTCCTTTTCCCACTCTCCTTCTTGTCGTAGCCATCACTGTGTTTGGGTTTGGGCAGCTAAGTAAGAACCTATTTAAGATAGGGGTCCCGATTCTGACTTCTCTTCCCCCCAAGGTTGACCTAACTAACTGATCACCTGCTTGGTGTGTTTTCTTGGTCACACTCTTCTGGGTAGCGGGACACTTGGGGTCTGCTTTTTTGCTTTAAATTGTGAAAAGATTGTACTCCACCCCCCCCCCACCCGCAAGTCTCAGCTTCCTCATCGGGGAGTAGCACCCCACCTGAGGCTTGGACAGCAGCACCATTTCCTGCACAGATGTTATCTAAACATCTTGACTCCATCTCAGAGAAGCTGGGCATGAGCGGAGTCCTTCACCACTGACACCCAGAGTCCGGAGGGACCTCAGCCCTCTAGCCAAAGCCCCATGCCGAATCTGACAGGCCAGCCGGATGGCCCCATTCCTGTGCCTTTGGGAGCCCCCAGCAGTGGGGTCTACTTGGGAACACAGGCTGGGCGGAGAGAGAAGGCCTACCCAGGCCTGGGCCCGTCATGAGGACCCAGGAGCACCCTTCAGAGGACGGCACTGGTGAAACAGGCAGATGAAACCTAGGCTGAAGCCGAATTTCAGATAAACGGCAAAACTTTTTAGTATAATGATGTCCCAAATATTGCATGAGACAGACCTAACAAACTGTAGGCTTTTTGTCTTGAAATTTAAATCTAATTGGGCAGCCTGCATATGTATATGCTAAATCTGGCAACCCTACATCCAACATGCAAGCCTTTGGGTTGGGCCCTCCAGGCCCTCCCAACAGGGCCCCAGAGACCTTGCCAGCCTCCCTTTCTGCGTCTGCCCCCCGCCCCGGGCTCAGCCCCAGCCAGGCGGATCCTAGGCTCCGCCTCACCTACTCTCTCCCCTCCACCATCCTGACCTTTGCAAACTGTAGTTCCTCCTGGCTGGAACTATTTACATGTTATCTCCACATCGGGGAAACCCTGTTCATTCTTCAGAGCCTCTCTTGAATATTTTTTTCCTGAAACTCCACCCAGTTCCTTCTATGAGCCTCCACCGTAGAACTTACTAGGTTTCATATCATTTTT